CGTGCGTCCGGCAGCAGGTGCCGAAGAGCCGGCGGAGAGAAGACCCTGCCTTGCCCCACGCCAGGCACTGCCGGTGTCCCGGAATCCTCATCGCGCCCGCGCTTTTTTTGCAGCGTCAGGTTCAAATGTAGGCACGTTGGTACGGCGCTGCCACTTAGCGCCGGGGTGAATGAATGGCTCTGCCGTTTGGGAAGAAGGGGAGCCTCCCTGTGAGTTACAGGGGCCTTCGCCTGGCGTTCCGTCCAGCCTGAGCTTAGTGGGGATGGGAGGGCAAGGGAAGCGGGGTGCGGAAGGAGGGAGTGAGAGGTGCCGCACGGCCTCTTCAGCAAAGCAAATGGTGGAGAATCCTTGCCTTTGGGAGGGCAGCCAAGCCTTCATCATTGTGTGGCTGCGATTCCTACATGTCTTCTCTGCCTTTAAATAGCGCGGCTGATTCTAGCGAGTCAGGTGTTTGGAGCGTGGATCCCAGCAGTGCCTCTGAATTTGCAGCGTGCCCTTGAGCAAGTCCCTTTTCACATGGCGTTTCACCCTTCCTCTTTTTAAGAAACATTTATCATTTAAGTCTCAAAACAATGAGCTTTAAGTTTATGATGTCCTGAAGCAGAAGATACTGTGGTCCTCCAGACTTTGCTGAGTAACCACAGAACTCCCTTGCCTAATCCCTTTCCAAGTTCCACCAGTCTGTTGGAGTCCATGTGACAGTGAGGTCCACAGTATAGCATGTGCAATAAAACACATAATTTAATTGGTCTTAACTAGTAAATTTCCAGTTAATTAAAAAAACAGCTAATGCAGATGTTGTGCTATGTCAATCTTTGCTTGTGTGTACTTGCCCTTTCTGTTCCCAGCGTTATTTTGTGTATATTATTGTCTTTTATTTTATCCTTTGAACTGTATAGTCACTGCATTTTAGCATTTCTTAGTATATTTTTTCGTATTTCTTAGCTTTCTTCTTAGGCTTTTCCTCATCCTCATTTTCTGCTTCGATTCCTGAAAAACTATGGGAGTTTGGCTAGTGACAGGAGCATTGCTAGTGGGAGCTTTGTCAGTCTGTATCCTGTCCTAGCCCATTAAGCAATAATCCTTGAATTACAGTTAATTAAAATCCAAGAGATGAATAAGAGATGAATAAGAAGTTCAGGTTTTTACTGTAGTATGCAGTTAGTATTACTGTTTTACCTAATGAAACAGATCTCATTGATGGAGGAACAGTTGTTTGCTTTATCTTCTAGTATGAGAACTGGGTACCATAAGATAAAACTTGTGAGAGGTTTGTTCAAAACTAATGCAAGCACATAGCTCTTAACACAGTGTGCAGTTAAACTGTGGGACTCCTGGCCACAGGATATTAGAGGGTAAAAGCTTTTTAAGTGTCCAGAAAGCATTTTTAAAAGATTAATGAAAAAGAATGTGTTGATGGCTATTAAATGCAATGCAACATTGCATTTAATACATTGGACCAGGCTGAGGAAATCCCTGAGCTGAAAACTGTGGGAAGCTGGGAGAGCACTCTGGAGATGTATATTTCTCCTACTCTTCCATAGGTGATCATCCGTGTCCTAGGTAGAATCCTGGTTTAACTGCAGAATTGTCTGACGTAGCATTGCAATTCTTAAATGAAGATCTTCAAGCCGTCTCAATTTTTGGCTAGCGTAAGTAAGGGCTGAAATGTGAATTACCAGTAAACCTTGTCACCTCTGTGCATGTTCTCATGCCCTTTTCAGATTATTGAAAAAGTGTTAATGGTGTTTTTTATATTTCTCTCAATGAATCCTCTTTTTCTGCCACTTCAAACTTTCCAGTTTTCCTTTTTAAATGTGAAAGCAATATCTACAGGCAAGGACTATGTTCTAAGGTAAAATTGCCTGCCTTCTTCAATTAGCTCTTTTTGCCACTGCATTGCTCTGGGAGTCCATGTTGAACTGGTTGTCAGCTGCTGCTTTTCATCGTATTTTGCAGGAATTGCTTTTGTTCCTGCTTCTAGAGTCATGACTTCAGGGTTTTGGTTTTGTTAAATCGGTCTGTTTAAGCCCAACATGAGGACCCTTGGTGACTGCTCAGTTCCATGTGTTTTTTCGTTATTTGCCAGTCGTTGCAGCTTTGCTAAGTACTGTCTTTGCTAAGTACAATCTTTGTCACCCATGGCTTTTATCAAGAGTAAAATGTTACCTCCTGTCTGTTGGTGGAAAAACTGAAAAATTCTCCTTGGTCTGACCATTGAGCCATAGTGGCTTAAAGGTCCCCCTTCAACTCGGACTCTCTTACTGCTGATTAAATGACCACCTTGCTGAAGAGTCACAATTTCTTTAACTTTTATTATTGCTTTTCAAATTCTTCTCTATTACCTATACATAGCAGTAGCTTGAAGAACTTGAACTCTGGAAACCTTTCTGTGAACTGGAGGCGTGGGTTCAAATTCATATCCTGACCATGCTCAGGTAGGGACAACTTGAAGAACTGAGATATTATGAATACATTGCATAAAGTTGTGGCTCCTTATGCACCATTAGAGAGAAAAATCTTTAGGATACCAAGCAATTGCTTCTCTAAATATCCTGTTGTAGTCATTGCTCAGCTTTTAGATAAGAAGTTGAAACTGCTCAATTCAGACTTCTTAGACATCTTGATCTGTCATCACTGTACACAGTCTTCTCCTGAACTGGAAGCTACACTTCTGGTCAAGAAAACAACAGGCCTGTAAGTCTGGAGCCTGTGTCAGGCGAATTAGTAGAAACTATGGTAAAGAACAAGACTGTTGGACCCCAGAATGAATATGGTCTACATGGGAAGAACCAACATGGCTTTTGTAAATGGAGTCATTGCCTCATGTGACTCCTGGATCACTATGTAGGCCGTCTTGGTGTTCATGCTTGATCAGCGTGTTCATCCAGAGAACCTGAGCCAGGGCATTTACTGCTTTGCTTTGTGTTGTCTTCTGAGCCCAAGCTAAGTTCTTTGGTCATGTTCCACCTAATCCCAAACTCCCACCACTCATCATATCTCCTGAGGGAAGCTGCTGCTGATCATCTGCTCTGCAATTCATCACCACTGCATAGATCATGCAAAACAGCATGAGTGTAATGGAGTGGCATAGTTGCTGGAGTTGCTAGTTGCTGGCATCATTGGTAGCATAACCTTGTAGCTGCCAGATCTTCATCTCTTGGACTTTGTTGCAATAGGCATCCAGACATCGTTTTGTTTTGTTTCGTTTTTTTCCCCCCTAACCTGCAGGCAGTAATAAGTGAAGACCTAGAAGCAAAGGCTGTGAAAGCAATGTATGTGTGCGCTGAGCTGGATAGACTTTTTCAAAATAATTCTTCAAAACTAGCTATTTGCTGCCTTGTACCATCATATGTAATTCTGTTGATATACTTGATTCTTCCCTGGTATCTTGTAGTTCTTTGGTTGGCTTTTCTTTCTTTGGAGCAGAGTGAGCTTTTTTTAAGCCTCCATCTCTTGTGAAACAGAGCAAGTTTGGCTGTAGCAGATATGAACAATTGTCTGTAGCAGATATGAACAATTGTCTGTTCGTCAAAGCCTCTTGCATGGCTGTTCCATGCAAATTCATCTCGAAACAGTCTTTCAGGTGCTGAGCATCCTCTAGAAGAACAGAGTTGTCAGTCAAAGGATCTGAAGGGGCAGAAGCTGAGAACTGAATGTTTTGGTTCTGACTTGTCCCTGGGTGTCAGAAAGGGAAAAAGGGGATACATGTCCTTTCAGTGTTACTGATGTGTGACTAGACTGGTTGATGGTGATGGTTCATGAGTTCCAAAAATAGCTTCTGTCTGCTGAAGGTCAGGGTCCTCTTTCATTAAGCAAGTCAGGCTGGGGGTCAGCCTGGCTGTTGGCGGAAAATACAGAATTTGCTTACAGGGCTTTGCAAACGTGGGGCTGAATGGGTTATGGGTTGAAGACACACACAGGCTGAGGGGTGGGAGAGTTTTGTCCTGCCCCTCTCTGAGCCAATGCTGCTGTGGGGAGGTGCGAGGCATGGTGCCTGGTGATCTCAGCAGAAGGCATTGCAGCGAGGTTGGGCAGCAGAAATGTTTGCTCTGGGAGATTCTGAATGCAGGGATCAGCAGCTTTGAACTGAGGGACTGCTGAGTCCCTGCGGACTTGGGACTGTTTATCTCAAATACTGAGTGAGGTTTTAGAGTGAGGCTGCCAGGACATGTCCCAAGCTAAGCTGTTATTACGTTAATCAGTGTCAGAGCAGGAGGTCATGTGTGACGCAGTCTGGGGGACTTAACCTCCTCTCCTAGAGGGGAAAAGTTGTGGATGAGCAGGGTCAGAATTTTTGCCCTGTGTCTGTACAGGGGTCATTCTTACGTGTGCCATTATGCCCTTGTTGTGCCCTAGATGTGGTGGCACAGCTGGAGCCATCCTGACCTGTCCCCTGGAAGTGGTGAAGACACGTCTACAGTCATCCCAACTGACACTGAGGCCTCTGTGCCTCTCAGAGATACAGCTGCCAGGGATGAGTGTGAGGCTGATGAACCCCACGCCACCATCTCCTGGAGTGCTCAAGTTGCTGAGGTGAGTAGGATAGGGCAGTGTGCATGTTAGCACAAGGGAGATGAATGTTTGGCCATGGGTGGGGGGCGGGTGGAGCGGGGCAGGGCAGAGAAAGAGACAGACAGACAGACTCAGGAAACTACAAGTGAGGTAGGAATTTTCATCAGAACACAGGTACATCTACTTCTCACAGCTGATCTGTGCTTTGAACTCAGAGCTTTTGGGACTGTGAGAAATACCTCAGCTAGTGGTTTGATCAGACCCAGAGTGATGGTGTCAGCAAGAATAGGAAGAAGCGACTGAAGGAGAGAGGAGACGTGGTTGGAGAGAAAATGAGTAGGGCAGAAAAAGGATAACACAGGAGGTGAGGAGAGGATGCTACAAGAAGCACTGAAGAATGAAGAAGAAGGAGGAACAGGAGAGCCCCCAGCTTAGTTATTCTGCTGATTTCTCTATTTATTTCCTTCTGTAGGGCCATCCTTGAGAAGGAAGGCGTGCGATCCCTGTTCCGAGGTCTGGGTCCAAACCTTGTTGGGGTTGCTCCTTCCCGGTGAGTACTGCTCCCTGAGGATAGCTCATGCTGCATACTTTTTAAAGGACCTCTGTGACAGCTATTGCTCCACATTCTGAAAGCAGTCCAGGCCTTTTGCTCATTGTGCTACAGGACCCCTTCACGCAGACATTTTCTGGACCTTCTGATCATAGTTGTAAGATAAGATGATTGCTGTGGGCCTAGTATAAATGGTATCTGATGTCATGTTAGACAAACTTGTGCTGGGAGTAAGAAAGGTTGGAGTGAGACCCTACAGCAGTGCTGTCTCTGCTTCTCATAGGTGAGCTGTAACCTCTTCTGGTTTTCTTTCCAATCAGGGCTATATATTTTGCTGCCTATTCTGGTGTTAAGGAGAGGCTCAATTCTGTCCTTGTACCAGAGTCCAAGAAAGTACACATGCTATCAGCAGCGTGTGCAGGTGAGCCTCTTTTGTCTCAAATCAGAGCCAAGGGGTCCTTCTGTTTGTAAGTGTAGATGGGTTTCATTCCTTCCCCATTGCTGCTGCCATCAGTCCTGCTCTCTCTCCTGAAGTTTTTCTTCCTCCACACCTGGAGCAATGAGTTCCTTGGGTAGCCAAAATGTTTTCTCACTCTTCATTCTTCTTAGGCTCATCCCTTCAACTCATGGTCTAGTCTTTACCCCTTCAGCTGCTATCAGGAAAAGAGCTCCATTCAGGTGTCAGCGGGAGAAGGCAGTGTGTAATTTAGACCACTCACAGAATCATTTCTCTTGATATATCCCAGTTCTCTAACAAAATCTTCCACTCTTGCAAGTTTAGACTGTTGTTTCCTGTCTCTCTGTAACACCAGGGCTTGTAGTAGGGTTGTGTTGGAGGCAAAGGAGCTAATTACCACCAGACAAAGGCATAATGGAGGAGGAGGAGAATGAAATGGTCTGCCCTAAATGTGTCTGCTCCCATGGAAGCTCAAGGTCATTCTCAAATTGCAAATGCCTGCAGCTTGCCAAGCAAAATTCAGAGAGCTAGTAGATCAGCACCTCCTCACAAATCCTGGTGCTCATGGCTGTCTTCCTCTTCTGTTCTCCAGGCATTACCTCTGCCACACTCACCAACCCTATCTGGTTAGTGAAAACCAGGATGCAGTTGGAAGCCAGGTAAGGTAGGCTAGCAATGCAGAGCCACTGTGTCGAATCAGGACTGGTTTGGGCTGGGGTTGGGTAAGGGTCTGTGACTTGCCATCAGAACATAGGTCTTCAAGGCATGTTGGGGAAGAGTCATACAGTTGTGTTCACAAGAGCATTTTAGGTCAGTGGAGCAGTATGCCGTTCTAACCATCCCTCCTTTTTACAGGGTGAAGGGGGAGATGGCCAGCAATGCTCTCCAATGTGCCATGCATGTGTACCGTACTGAAGGCCTTCGTGGATTTTACCGTGGTATCACTGCCTCCTATGCTGGAGTGTCAGAGACCATCATACACTTTGTCATCTATGAAGCACTGAAACAACAGCTGAGAAACAGCCATCATTCCCTTTCCCCCACACTTTCATCAAACAGCCATGATTTCTTTGGACTAATGGGAGCTGCTGCTGTCTCCAAAACATGTGCTTCATGTATTGCATATCCACATGGTGAGTGGGTCCATTCTCCTTGCTTCTTTTCCCCTCAATGGGAGATGCCATGCCTGTAGGATCAATCTGCTAATATAAATTCTCTTTTTGTCCCTCCAGAGGTCATTCGGACACGGTTGAGAGAAGAAGGGTCACGATATCGTTCCTTTATACAGACTCTGCAGCTTGTGGTCCATGAAGAAGGACCCTTGGCTTTATACCGAGGGCTCCTGGCTCACTTGATCCGCCAGATCCCAAACACAGCTATCATGATGGCTACCTATGAACTCATCGTACATTTGGCCTCTTCCACGTTGTAAGCAATCTGTAGCACCTGGCTGAGGCTGCTGGTGCGATAGAGGGACTTCATGATCCTGACTTGGCCTTTTTCCATGCTCCAAGAGGTGGTGCTTTTCTTCGCATATCAGAACTGGGTCAGGCGTAGCAATCTCAGGACAAGATTATTTTGTGCAAAGTTTTTGGCTCCACTGTGCGCAACGTAGCCTTTCTTCTTTCTGGAGACTTGAATTATTTTGGTGCTTCAAGATGTCAGGGCACTGGTTTGACAGTGCCTGCAGTAAGCTCCCTGCACGTGAAACAAGGGCACGGAACTTACTGGGAAGGAGACAAAGGAGAAAGCGTAAAAGTATCTTAGACAGCCTCAGCACGTTCAATTCTTTTAGACCCAGTAACAACCATACGTGGGCACAATTGGACAGGAAGACAGGCTAGAGCTGAGACATCGGAGAGAACTGCAGCAAGCAGATCTTGTGCTGAGAACTTTTGTGCCCTCAGAGGGGCTTTTCCACTCTCACCTATTGTGCTACTTTGCTGCCCCTAAGGAGTATTTCTCAACCTTGGCTGCCAGAAAATGTGCTATTGTAGAATCTTCCTTTGAGTCCTTAACATGCCATTGCCCCGAGACATGTCAGGCAGCTGACAGCCTCTTTTTGCCTTGCAGGGTCTGAATAATCAGACCAAGTACGTCAAGGGAAGAAGCACAGCCTGCTATGAAGCACTACCCTAACAACTCATGCAGCTGGGCTCATAGCCATGCTTTTCCAGTATCTGTTTTGTTTGCATCCCCTCCGTTCCCAGCAGAAAGAGGACACCTCCTTCCCTCAGAATTGCTGGGGCTGTTCTGCTACAGGCTGGAACCCCTGGTCTTTTATGCTGGTAAACAAAGTGGATCAGGTAAAAAGATGGATGAAGCTGAGGATTTGGCCTGTTTCTATTGAAGATACACTGAGTATATGGAAAGAGCCTTTTTTTTTTTTTTTTTTCTCTGATCAAGAGTTCAGTTTGCTGAATGTGTTACACTTGCCTGTGACAGGCTGGGATGCTTTCTGTTCCTTAATGGGTTCTTAGCAGTATGTGCTGGGGAAGGCTACATTGTGTTTACAAAGACTATTTTCACTCTGAAAAAGGCAGGGGGTAGGGTCAGGGGTGATGTGTTTTTTCCTTCTTCCAACATATACACTAAAAAATGTAACCCTTCCCTGACATAAGGCAGTAATTTCAGTAAACACATGCTCTGGACAATCTCCAGTCTCATATTAGAGACTACGCTGACTGGTTTTTTCCCTGCTTGTAGTGAAAAACTGCAGATGCCCTGAACATTTTATTTGAAATCCATTTATTTTAAAATCCACTTTGTTTCCTCATCCTTCTTACCTTCATCCATTTAGTTTAGGAGTATCGACAATTTTACAAAGCGACACAAGCTGCAGTGGTTTGTTTTTTTTGCATGAAACGAGAATAAACCTCAAACGACAACATTGAAAAAATATACAATATATATATATAATATCTGGGAAGGGGTTGTGAGAGACCCCACTCTGAGCCCTATGGCTGGCTCCTCCTTCCAAATTTCTGTTCTTTGCAAGCGCCTCCTTCCTCATCATAGTTTGAACTGTGCCACTGTCATGTGCAAGTGCCCTAACACGTGTTTCTAGAGAGCCAGATGGGGGGGTCAATAACGTGGGGAATGTCCACAATGAGAATGGTAGAAGATGAAGGAACGTGGGAGGCAGGAATGGCAAATGAGTGAGGAGCACATGTGTACACGGTGGGGGAAGGAAGAAGTTAAAAGTAAGACACCTCCTTCTTCCAGCCATATGTTTTGGGGGGAATCCAGTGGACGCGTTTTAAAGCTCCTAGTAGCAGTGAGAGCCGTCCCTTTTGCCAACTGGGGAGTCGGGTGTCTCCGAGTCTGTGCTGTCATCTTCATCCTCCATGCCCTCACTACCTCTGCCGTCGCTGCTTTCTGCTGCCCTCTCCTGGCAGCTCTGGTAGGACTGGGGAGGTGAGACACGGGGTAAGGTGAAGTATCTGGCAAACCAGCTGCCCACCCAGCCCCAGCCACTGTGGCTGCTCCTTACCTCCATGGGGTTGACTATGATGGTGAGGGCTGAGTCATCCCAGAACATGTCGCTCGCTTTGCCTCCAGTGCTTGTGTGCTCCCCTTCAGCAGTGCCAGGGACCTCTTGCCCCACTCCCCGCCGGTGCAGGGAGTGGATGCGCAGGATGCCAAGGATCACCATGAGTGCCAGGAAGCCCACACACACCACAATGATGACAGTGGCAGCACTGGGGACCACTTTAGAGAAGGAAAATGAGAAGGCGTGATTAGAGTCCTGTCACAGAAATGTGCGTTTCCAGTCTGACCCGCAGGAACTGGTGTTCCTGGGCAAAGCCTGGGTTTTTGGGCTAGGCAGGAACATGTCCTGACTTTGCTTCCCTGGGCACATGTGGTTCCTGCCCTCAGCTGCTGTATCTTCACTCGAGGCCTGCATGGTTTTCCAGGATGCCTAGGTTCAGGCATCCTCTGATGTTAGCCCTGCCTGTAGACTGCACATCTTTAGCTACAGAAGTCATCAGGACCTGTTGCACAGCAGCCATTTGTATACGCCTCTTGGGAGGGAGAAATGTGTGCTGGGGAGAGCCTCTAAAGGCACGAGGATGATTTTCAGAGGGTGTGACTTCTGTGCAAGCAGTAGAGAAAGAAGGAAGCCAAAAGAATCTGCTTTGCACATGGGGCACAGGTGAGGGCTATGATGGCCTTCTAACTAGGGCCACAGTCAAAGCCTGGCTTCTCCACAGGAGAAAACTTGAAATTCCTCTAAGACCCTTAGCCCAATTCCCACCCCTTTATTCTAAGCCTGTAGGCCGAACCTTGACTCCCAAGATAACCCACTTCCCTGCAAAATCTATCCAGGCCCTCCATGGATTTGTTCTGGGTGGTTCTGTACAGCAGCGACAACTGTTCCTTTGCTGCTGTGATAGGGCAGAGCTGGGGAAGGGAGTGGCAAAGGCTGGTTTTTGGTGTGCTCTCGGCATCTATGTAGGCTGTCCCTGCAGTGTCTCAGTGCCAGCTGCAGGCCTGGACCAGCTTGGGATCCACTGCTGCAGGAAGCTGCAGGAAAAGCTAGCATCAAAGGTGCTTTCCATGTTCCCTACAACAAAGGACCAAAACAAATGCAGGGTCCTCCGTAACAGTCCTAGAGCTTTCACAGCCTAGGAAGGGCCAACTGGACCGTGGTCATGCTTGTGGCACAGGGCTGCCAGCACAAATCAACAAATCTAATCCCTAGTCTAGCCTTCAGGCTTCTCCCTCCTCTGTCTTGGGAGCAAGAATCCTCCTCTTGTCTGTGTGGTGCTGTATCCTATATTTTTCTGCCTTGCTGACCACCACCTAGTCCCATCTCTTTTTTTAGAGCAGTGGCAGTCTTGATTCTCTTCTGTCTCCTGTGCTGTCGAAGCTTCTTCCTGAAATTACATTACCCAAGCCTGCATAGCACCTTTGCAAGGTGCACAAATGAAATCGTACCAGCTTACGGTTGTTCTTTTTAGACCTTTTCAGGTGTACATTTCAGACTGCTTCTACATCAAGTAAAACAATACACCAAAAGAGGAGGATTGTTGCACCAAGCTCTAAAACACAGACTGCAGTCCATTTGCTAATGACAAGTGGGACAGGACAGTATAATGAGAAATCAATAACATGGGTATAGAGAGCCTGAATGGAATCCTCTGCTATAGGTTCTATGAGGATATCAAAATCGGCATCCTGACCTAAAGGAATAAACCCAAAAGATAGTGTTACATACTTGGGCTGTTATGGGTGCTTGCCAAACTGTGCCCAGATAGTTCTGGGGGTAAATGATGGCCTCGGTGAATGAACTGCTGGGAACTCAGCATGTGGTTAGGATGAGCAACTCGGTTCATGTTGTGGAGGACATTCACCTGCAGAAAGACCAGAGAGAGCCTCAGCCCTGTGTTCATGGTACATTCTACACTGTGCACGTTCCCATCCACCATGTCCTCTCCATGCATGCACAAGCATGCATATGTGCATGTGTTGATTTTGTACCTCAACAGTAAACTCATTGCTGGAGTAGCGTCCATTCATCTCGGTGCAGGACAGGTGAAACTTCCTCTCATAAAGCGCAGTGCCACGGTTGATGTGGTATGAGACCTGGCGTAGTACTTCCTCGTAAACTGCAATGCTCTCCACACCTGAGACAAGAAGAGAGAACTGTTGTGGGGTGAGGAAGCTCCTGCTTCAAAGCTATCTGGCATCATAACTCTGTAGCAACTAGGAGCTATAGAGGAATCCAAAGCAATGCTGGCTTCACTAATTTTAGGAAGGGAGCAGAGATGGAGCTGGCTGCAAAGGACCTGATGAAATGCCTGCTTTCGTTGCTAAAACAAGTGGAAGGGAAGGAAGAAACAAGAGCAACAGCCCTGTTAAGTTCTGGAGAGTACAGTACTGCTGTACCAGTCCACAACCTGTGGGATGTGCTGTCCCTAGTCATGTCATGCAAAATGCTGCTGGCTCCTGAGAACACCAGACCCCAAGAAGTAAGTCAGAAGGAGTGATACAAGCCTTCGTGCGAGCTCAGACACCATGTGCTGGAGGAGGAGTCACCTCCGCAGGGAAATGTCCTGGGGAAGTTCAACAAGTGGTTACCTCTTCAGAGTCTCACAAAGTTCACCAACACATCACTAACATTGGGTTAAGTGCTTCTCCCAGTGATGCCCGCGAGGCAGTGAGAGGCGTCATTAGACAGTTGTGGCCAAGGAGGGGACATACCTGTGATGGTCAGGTAGGCAGAGGTGTTAACAAGCTCCAGGCCTCGCTGCTGCAGCAGTGCCCCATCCAGGAGCAGATACTCCCTCTCTGGGTCCAAGTCATCCCCTACCAATGAGATCTCGCAGCCATCCAGGTTGTGCACAATCTCATCTGACATTCGTGTGTCTGTCACTGAGATGCAAATGGAAAGAAAACAGGGCCAGAAAGCCAGACAGCCATCAATGAAGGCAGAAGTTATGCAGAGTGGTACTTACTTAAAAGTGCTCACCTCATATGTAATGACTTCTCTTTCTCTGGTTAGTACTGACCTTGAGAAAAATCACTGTCAGTCTAATTACTTGTTGGAGGAGTCCCCCTGGTTCTAATGACATTATTTATGCACATAGTAAAGTCACTTTGTTTTGGAACAACATACTATTATCAGATTGGTTCATGATAACACATCATGGCTGTAAGGACTCTTGTTGACAATGACAATGTGCAAATTAGGAACAACTCCATCACACATTCCCAGACTCCAAGTGCTTTTGAAAGCTTTCCCCTGTCTCACGACTGCTGGTTACCATGGTTGAGATTTTACCATCTTCTTTAAAATGGCTACCACATTCAATGACTAACTGCTTTCAGCAGGGCTAAGACCAACCCGCTCTATGTCCAGAAACTCATCATTGTATGAGGAAAGGTAAAGCTCTAAACAGAAAACTATGAGCAAAAAATCCCATTACCAGAAAAGATACAGAAGAAGTGAAAGGGACATGTAGAACATAGAATACAGAGAAATAATCTGAGGATGATGGAGGGAAATTGTGGGACAAGATATTATAGGGTGTGAGGAAACTGACCGGGGAATTCACAGGAATAAGTGATGCCGGTAGATACTATCTCTAGATTTGCCAGCGAAACTGTTTTAGTGAGAAAAAGGCATTCTAAGAAATTTAAAAAATCCCCAACAAACAAACCCAACAAAAGTAAATACTACAATACTCCCTTGGTCCTGACAAAATGTCACAGGACTCTATTTAGGAGAAACCAGGACTCTTCTGAACAGATGGAAATGGTCACAAACTTTTCTTTAACATCTCTTACCTTTAAAAGTTTGCTTCCCTAGGATTTTAGTCTCTAAGACAGATTTAGACAGCATGATGGGGGCAGAGAGGGAGGGTGTATCTGTTGGCTATAGTGGTCCCCACTAAATAAATTATTTCTATGGAAGATATACTATTCACCACTGATCTCTGAAAATCACTGAGAAACTGATGTCTTTCATTTTTGTCAGACTGAATCTAGTCAGTGGAAGTCATGTCTAGTGGAAGGTGTCCCTGCCCCTGGCAGGGGGGTTGGAACTAGATGATCTTTAAGGTTCCTTCCAACGCAAACCATTCTGATTCTATGATGCAGGAAGAGATGGGAGGGGCTGAGAAATAAAGAAAGCAAGAGAGAAGGAAGCAGTAGGAGACTGAGTAAGGGCAGGAGTGGAGAGGGTAACAGGCAGGACATCCATCCAGTGATGAATTCTATAAAATGAAATGTAGGTAAAATGTAAAAGGGATTAGGAATGAGCAGCCTGGGAAAGGAGGAGAGAGTGGGGCAAAGGAACTAGGTGGATAGAAAAAGTAGAGGGAGGAGCAGAAAGGGATAAGAACCAATTAGCCTACATATTGACAGACAATGTGCCTTGCTTCTACATTTGTAAACTCTCTCTTATTTCGAGTGTAATGAGGGGCTCTACTTCCTCTGCAGGATAAGAACTCTTGTAGGTCTTTCCAGTTTTTCACTTATACCTTGCCCCGTACTCCACTCACCAGTACCATGCCAATTCTCATCCTTCTTGGCCTCCACCTGGTGAGAAATAGAGCAGGTGATCTGCAGGCTGGGGAACAGGGGGACCCCATCAGGGGCCTCAAAGTCTGATGAAGGATGAGCAAAGTGGGCATTGCCACTCAACAGGATCTGGGGGGCATCAGGCTGTAGCACCACAACATAACCTTCCACATCAGGAATGGAGACACAGGACTCTTCACTGAAACACCTAAAGGAGAGCAGCAGAAAGCATCAGTAGGCCCAAGCTTCCACCAGCAACATTGTAAAAGGACACCTTCTGCCCATTACTGCCAGTGAAGGGAATATCCTTTTTCTGGTAGTCTTTCTAAAGCTTCCCTATAGCCTTCTGTGCAAGACAGAGAGGTGCGGTAGGAATGACATCACTGGGTTTCAGGTGACTTGGTCACACCCACACACAACAGAGAAAATTAAAACCAGCCCACATGCCTGGCACACCATGAGTGAAGGCAGAAGTTCTGCTACCTGCATAGACCCCAGGACCCAGTATTACAGTATCCATTTGGATCCTGGATACTTAAATATTTATTTTCAGGGAGACTTTTACTCATTTCAAGACCATAAATTAGAATTAAAATACAAGATGAGGGAGTGTAATTTTAGTCAAAAGAGAGGTAACCCTCTTGCTGAACATAGCCGGAGGTGCCGCTTTTTCCACTCACTTGACAGTAGTGGTGAGTCTGAGTGGCCGGACCCCAGGGGTAGCAAAGCGCAGAGAATTCATGTAAGCCACATGCTGGATTGCATGGTTGAAGGTTTCAACATCGTCACCCTCCAAGGTAAGCAGGGACTGGGAGGGGTTCACATGAACCTGCAGGTGGAAGAGAAGAAAATACTCAGGGTTCCTTGGCAGATGCCAAGAGTCCAGGCTGACAGAGACACAAAGGAGAAAGGTGGGGAGCTGTCTGAGGTGGGGGAGCAGGCAAAGTCCTGGGAAGCAAGGCTGGGGAGGAGAGTGGAGGAGACCCATGCAAGCTGGGCAGATGGGCATACCTTCATCCCTTTGCCCAGACTGTCGAAGTCACTGTAATCAAGCCCCTCACGGCAGGCATACAGGCATTCAATAACATCCCGGCTCTCCAAGCTACCAGGGCGCACAGTGAAGCCAGCCAAGTAACCATGGAAGTAGTGGTGTATCAACAGAGGATCTCCTGAGGGAAACATGGGAGGTGGGGGATGTGAGAGACATGGCGAGGAAGAGAGCAAAACAAAAGCAACAGTGTGAGGGACATACAGATGTTAAGGGAGGTAGAAAGAGACAGAGGGGTGCATGGGACATGGAAAAGCCAAGACAACAAAAGCAACAGTGTGAGGGACATACAGATGATGAGAGAGGCAGAGAGGGACGGAGGGGTGCACAGGAGATGGAAAAGCAAAGACAAGACAGGGGATGCTGAAGTAAGAAAATGACAATTTTTTCAATTCCAGATGGGCAAAGGCAAGACAAACAGACCAACAAAAACACTAGGGCAGTGAATGGTGGGTAGTGAGGAGAAGTTCTGACAAACTGCTGAATGCCAGATGGAAACAATTTCTTGTCCCCTTCTCACTTTGCTTCCTGTGAGGGCTTTTAAAAGAAACTATACATTCCATAGATAGTTAGGGATGAGGTGACATCTCCTGATGTCTTTAATGGCTATTGTGTTCTTTGGAGACCAACTTTAACGATCAGGCATGAGGACTCCTTCTCCACATGAAAAGCATACTCCATCTCTCAAAGCAGCCTGTAGTCCTCCTATCAGCCTTTTCATGCTCCACAGATACCAAGGTGTTAAGGACCAATCTGCCAAATAAGGGGTTTCCTCCCAAGATGGTGGGAGGTGGCAGGACAGGATTGGGGGAGCTGTATGAGGAAGGCACCATGCAAGAAGTGATAGTCATGCACAGTCAAGAGGGGAAGAGGACCATCTTCTTTCTTTTCCCTACCTTGTACGGTATCAGTGGAGTTCTCATTTCCTTTGATTTTCTCTTTGTTTTTCTCCTCTGCAAAAAGGGAACATTCAGACAAGCAATAAGGCATTGGAAGAGGGTAGTTACAGGGTTAGGCAAGTATCTACACAAGTGCCTATATTGGCCAGTCCAAAAGAACAGTTCTGGAGCCATGTGCCAAGCAGTGCACCCTTCAAACCTAGAGACAGCACGTCACAGATGAAAGAGGGCAGATTGCCTCTCATGAAGGGGATGGTGAGACTGTAGGATGAGTAACTGATACAAGGGAGAGGGTATAGGGGTTTTTTTCTCCTTTCACAATGATATCTATTTTGGGAAATAGTTGATTCCCATTTATGGAACATGGTCATAGCCATGTTTGCAACAAGCCGTGTACTCAATATCCTTTTGATGATGGTTCCAGGAGCTGTGGGAAGTTCCCTGACCTGGGAGAAGCAGTACTATAGGAAAGATATGATCTTACTAGAAATTTCTGCTGGGGTGAAGGAAAGCAGCAGGCAAATTCATTTAGTTTTGTCCTGCTTCAATCTTGCAGGAGAACTGAAAGACCTGGGAAATGCAGCCTTACATCTCCACAGAACAGGTTTTAATCTGGTAGTGGCTTAACTAAGTTCCTAACCTGATATTTGCTCTCCAACCCAATTCCCCTACAGAATGATTTGTGACCTCTTCATATAGACCTTCAAGACACATAAATCTCCATCAATACAACCAGCAGCTCTAATAGTACTGTCTGCTCTCTGGTGAAAAGCTTTGACAGAAATGCCTGAATGAGGTACAGAGTTTGAACTCTCCTCTGCCTGAAAGCTGTTTATCCATCGCATATTCTACTGCTGTTGTCCATGAAGCTGCCAATGACACTTGTCTCTGAGCTATTATTACCATGGCCTGCTGGCTTGATCCGGGAGGAAGGAAAGAGCCACATTCGCTTTGGTGCCAAGAAGGCAAGATGGCTGCAATGTGGTTTGCATCATTTAGTATCGGGTTTCTTTCACCTCTCTGGCTCTCCCTCCACTTCCTTGTTTCCCATATGGGAAGAGCATGGCTCAGGGAGTGGGCACTCACCGGTCCAGCAGGCTCCAATCATGATCGACGGTTCCTGCCGTGGGGGGTGAATGAGGCCATTGTCGTGGATGAGGGCAGGGTCATAAGAGACGCCATCCACGTAGAGCGTAACAGTGGGGAACTCCAGATTGAGGGCATAATGGTGCCATTCATCATCGCAGACCTACGACAGACAGCAAAGGAATGGATCAGCAAAGGGCGGAAGTAGAAGGGACATGGGGAAGAGGCAAACGCGTCCTCACCTGCTCAAGCTTCCAGAGGAATTTCACAGGCCTTGCGCTTTCCAGCAACGGCCAGTACAGGAAAGCAATCCGGCAGCCGTGCACAGCCAGAGAGTAATGCGAGTAGCCATCCTCTGCCAGAGACAAGCACAAGGAGTTACATATCACACCTCAGAGCAGTCTCATTAGCCAGAGCCTAGAAGCACACACTAGCCAGCACGACTGGCACTCAGCACCGTGTGCTCACAGCAGGCTTCACTGCTCCCAGAAAAAGTGACACATGAAGAAGCTGCGTTCCTAAGGAGGGACTCCTGCCCAGGTCCCACTCTGGAGCACAGGAGATTTCCCTCTGCAGGGACAATCGCTTCTAACAAGTTAGAGGCAGCGGGCAGAAGTGTCATCACCCCAGGAGAAGCGTCTCACCGTTCTGCACTGTACTGCATATCACCGTCTCCTCCTCCCGCCTGCCTTTGCCAGGCACCACGGCATGCTTCATCCATACAGACAGGGTGAAGTGGTCACTCATCCCCTCATGGGCATTCGGCCCATTCACCACAGGCACCTGGGCAGCCTGGCTGCCATTGAACCAGTAGATAAGGCTGCTGTCCTGGCTGTAGTGTACCGAGAGCCGTGCAGTCCAATTTGCTGTGGGGCTAGGCACCGGCAGCAGGTCGATCTCTCCTGAGGCAGCACCTACAGAGAAAGGAAGGAGTCAGGAATGTCAGCACAGGAGAATAAGAAGCTTGAGAACTAAGGAACAGATGAAGAGGGTGCTAAAGGTCTCATTGTAACATCCGAGGGCAAAGGGAGAGGAGGAGTGGCCTATAGGCCTTCTCCTATCTGAAGAAGGATGGCGACTTTTCTGTCTGTGCTCGAGGGAAGTCCCATAGACTCTGCATACTGGGGCAACGCACAGAAACCTCTGGCTTCCCAGCTATGAAAGCACGGGGAGCCCCTTGTAAATATGGGCATGGTGCCCACTGCCCCCCAACACAGCATGCAAGCTAGGTGTCCTTCCAGCCTTGCTGACCACAGATGTGAGGACTATGTCCCCCAGCATCTCTGCCGTGTTAGGCACAGAGCTACCACTGTGAACCACTCAAGGGTGCTGTGCCACAGGTGCCCTTGGGCCAGGAAACAATTGATTCACCACAGAGTTTGCGTAGTGACTTCTCAGAGTAGTTGTCCCGGTCACAGCCCTTGGCCACATGGTTTGTCTGCAGCTCCACCGTGGCCTGGATGTTCCACAGGGGCTCATCACAAGTCTCCAGGTGAATGCTGGGGAAGAGCGCAAGGCTGCCTGCACCTGGGGTGTACTCAATCCTCTTGTTCCACCCTAATGAAGAAGAGTGAAAGAGAGGGGTTAGGTCCTGCCGAGGACACAAGGCCAGAACATTTGTCACACACACAAGTTGCATCTATGGACTAGCCCAGAAACTGAGATTTTTGGCCCTTTCCACGTTGTAAAGACAACTTCATGCAGCTGGCATCAGTGCAAGGGAAGATTCACTAGAAGCACAGAGTCCAAATTCTCATCTTCTACAGCTAGTACCAGTGTAGCATCACGCCTTGGATTGTCAGCCTCTCTTATCATGCAGAGCAGATATTTAGCTGTGTTGATTTCCCCTTAATTCTATTGACTAAGGTGAACCTGTAGGCATACACCACCTCTGGAAAAGCCAAATGTCCTCAAGATAAGCAGCCCCAAAACCAATCTACATTTAATACAGTCTATGAGCCTTATAAAATACATACTAGTTCACAAGGAATGATTTTCCAATGTTAAAATTGCCTTTCAGTGGCTTTGCAACACACTCAGATGTCTGCTGCATCCCTTTAGATGGGACTGATGGGTTGGTGCCAGAACTGAACCATATATATGGGCATACAAATTTATATGTGTATATACAAATGTTTGCAATGAGTAAGACTGAGTAGTAGCTCAGCAAAAGCAAAGGGAAGCCATAACTGTGTTTGGAGGTTTCATACCTTGCCAACTGGGCTTGCAGGTGGGTTTCACCTGGATTTCAACTTCAGCATCATCAGAAGCCCGCTTCTTTCCACAGTCATAGGCTGTCACTGTGAATTTGTAGAGACGATCTCCACTGTACTGCAGCTTCTCAGTGTTCTCGATGTTCCCTGTTAGAAAAACAAAGAGATCAAGGGAGAGGAAAGACAATCTCCTCCAAGATGTTCCTTCTAGAAATCACTCTTATTTTTGATCAACTACAAAAACAACCAAAAAGGGGTTGAGTCTCCCTGACCCAGTACCACTCTGTAACAAGCTATAGCACCCCACAAAATGGCTGCTGCATCTCTGCACCAGAAGAGATAAATCATCAGTGCTAGAAAATTCATACAGCACAGCTCTGCCAGCAAACAGAATTGGCAGAGAGGGAGCAAAGCAGAAAAGGGGGAGTGACGTGCTCATGGTAGGTGCAGATTCTTACCGTCATTGTCAATCAGAAAGGGAATATTGGGGGTCAGGATCTCATAGTAGCAGATCTGGCTGTACTGTGGCGAGCAGTCTCCATCAATGGCTTCCACACGTAAGATGCGGTCATACAGCTTTCCCTCAGTCACCGCCACACGATACAACTTTTCCACAAAGACAGGAGCAAACTCATTCACATCGTTTACTCGCACGTGCACTGTGGCCCTGATGCAGAAAGACATCAGTAAGAACTGATCAGCTCATTAGGAGCCATACACCGCCTAAATTTCAGTGTAAGTCATTCCCCTAAAGTGCACCAGTCTGATTTCCAGCTGTTAAAAGCAAGGACAAGGAAAGGGACCTTGGTTTCAACGCAGCAACACTGGCACACAGGAGCTTGGACAATGGTTTCCCACCGCAGAGAAAGAACAAAAGGAATGATAATGTAATCTGGACCTCCTGCCTATATGCAGCAACATAAAACACCAGCCTTAGACACAACTGTCAAGCGGCCCTCATTTCTAGTGTATTCACTCACATGACTCAGTCAATGATCATTTCTCTTTGGGTCTTATTAACATGTTGAGTTATAGTATCAAGCCTAGAGAAAAATACTTCTGGCTAAAGGAAGCATTCCCACAGCAATTTTCATTTCATTTCTGTGACAGATCATGTTTTGGAACATGCAGCAATGACTGCATGGACTTACTTGTGTGATTTCTTGGTATTTGCTCCATCAGGTCCCTCTCCACAGTCGTAAGCCTGGATGGTGAATGTGTGTTCCTTATGTGCTTCACAATCCACTGGTTCCTTGGCCCGGATCAGCCCCTCACCTGTAGCTTTGTCCAGGATTACAGCTTCAAAAGGTACCCCTGCCCCATGGATCTTGAAGCCACAGATTTCACCTGGTACCCACAAAGGCAGAGAGGAAGGGGAGAAAGTAAAGGGCTGAGGAGAGCGCATTATGCCCCCTTGCTTCCCTCTCCCATATTTTCTTCCTTTCTAACTTACACTCTCCTTTCTCCCTCATTATGGTCTCTCATTTCAGGCAATTTTTGGTTCTCTAGGAGTTCTTCCTGCAATCTCTTACAGCCACTAATCGTGTGGATGGCCCTCTACTGGAGACTACTCCCATGGCAAGGAGTCCTGACCAGCATCAAGAAAGATTAGAGGTTACAAGGCTCAAACTAGATTTATTAGTGCTACACAGCCACAGTACTGAGGGAGCAACTTATTTCTCCTCTACATCCCCCAGGGAGGCAAAACAGGCCATATATTGCAGATAGGCAGCCAAAGCATGAAGATCCATGATGTCTCATCCACCCACACATGCAGGATGTGCACAGTGCCGCAGGGAAATGCGGATAGGGTCACCTAAATCCTATAGTTCAGCTCACAGGCACCGCTTTTCCTCTCCCAAAGCTCAGGAAGGATGTGTGAGGAAGCTCTAGGCATGGTCTAAGCAAGCACCAGGAATACAATGCTCATAAAGCCTCGTCCGTAGTTTCAGGGATTTGTGCTCACTGTGAGGGGATGTAGCACTGCCAACGAAGTGTGCTTTACCAGCTTTCTCCACAGACACAGAGCTGTGCATGTGATCTTTGGAAATAGCAGAACTGCGTCAAAAAGTAGCTGGCTCCACCCTCAATTTCTCTCCCTAAGGGAAATAGCTCACAGAATCCTAAATCAAGCTGTGCCCAAATTGCCTCCAGACTTCACTGGGGACCTCCTCCGGAATAAGGCTTGGAGGTGATTATTTCCTGGAGAGAGCTAGAATCCAGCACAGGGATGAATGTCACCCTGTCTCTGCGTCTTCATAAGTCTCTCCCTGCCTCCCACCCTTCCCAGAGCTGTTACCCACCTACCTGCATAGCGCAGTGGAGCATCTTTGTCCAGTGCAAATAGCGGTGGGTTGAGGAGGACTGTGTTGTCATTCTCCATGACGATGCCCTGATACTCAGCTTCAATCCAGGGTTTGTGCTTGTTTGCTGAGGTGGGTTTAAGGTAAGGGATGGAGCACAGGAATGTATTAGCCGTCAATGACAGATTCAGTAGGAAAAGAGCAGAATATCATCCAGCGGCAGGTAACAACCACCCCTCCCCACCTTCTTCCCACCTTCTTCTCTGGAAATGAAGAAGTCTAAAATAGGCTGGGAGAAAGAAGTTATCTTTCTTTAGTTCTACTCTACATGGCTCTTGGGAGACCTCATCAGAAACAATGTGTTCCTTCTGGCCTTGTCATTACCATCTAATTTTGCTGGGTGCCCAGGAAAGCTGAAGCAGTTAAAAAAAATTAAATCAAGAGGTAGAAGTAGACTGATTCTGGAGACAGATTCCAAATGCTAAATCCTTTGGCTCACTGAAGCCATAATTAAAGGGTCCAGGATACATCTTCCCTTGGGGTGGCCCCAGGAGACAAGTCTTGCGTGCAGCCATTAGCACTTATGCCTTGCATCCTCTGGACTAAGGCCCAGGACCTACACATGCATACCCAGATACACTTTCAGTCAGTCATTCTGCGTGTATAATAACCTATTCTGAGAGTCCCTTGACCCATCCTTCCCCACTCCATGGCAAGCACCATATTCCCTTGGCCCCTCCTTGCTAATCCCGTTGGCTGGAGCTCAGCCAGGCTTGGCATGGAGGCAGTAGCCAGCAGGAGGCTCTGAAAAATGTCACAGGCCCAGAAATAGCAAATTAATCTTTATCACACAGGCTCCAGGGCAGGGAAAGGGAAAAATAAAGGGGTGGGAGAGGAGGGAAGGGGAGGGGAGAGAGAAGAAAAATCATTACATATTAAAAACCCCTCCCCCCATGTCCACTCCCTGCCAAACGGGCCTCAGAGATTATATTACATGGCCTAGTTACAACCCCTATTCCCAGATAATCCCCCACTCTCCCACCCCCTGGAGATCAAGATTTATTACAACCAAGCAATACTTTGAGCACAGCGAGGCTCAGAGCTGGTGGAGAGTAGGATGCAGAGCCTTTCCCTTCAAGGGCACTACTTCCAATATGTGAATTCATCCTCTGCAGCACAGTATCCTCTGAAACCATACTGGCATGGTGTGATGTGTCGACTCAAAAGGGACAGTATCCCTTCAACCAAGCACTTCTGCAAATCGGGGCCAGGGAATGCTGCTGGAACCAGGTGGTGGGGCCAGCAGACAGGGTGACAGGTCAGACTGGGGATGCACCAGCAGGGCAGAGAGGGCAGACACAGCCTGGCATAGCAGCGACGAGCGCGGGTTGGCATTTCTCACTCACCGTATTGATTAAGATTATAAAGCATTGGGTAGGAAATCCAGAGAAACATCCATCCTGCTCAGTATGCAGGTGGAGTCCTCCCTGTGTGCAAGTGCCCACGTTTCACGCCACCCCACTGTTGCCCCCACCAGATTCCACTCTGTGATGGCTCTAGTCCATGCGCCACACCACCGAGGTGGTAATCCATAGCTACAAATGCCAAATGTACCCTGTTGCTGGGGTAACAAAGTGGTGGTAGAAAGATAAATCCTTTGCTGCATCCATCTGCAAATTTGGAATCACGAATCTGATTTCTCGGGAAATGAGTTCCTGGAGATTAGAAAAACATTTTGGGAATATTTTTAGGATACAGACTCCTACCGGCTTCAAGAAAGCTCCTGTAAATCTAAGATAATTTGCCAAAGGTGGGTAGATGTTTCAGAGTGTAAATTCATAAAGGAGAGAGAAAATCCAGAGCATAAGGGGCCTCGCCTCGACACTAGGCCCCTTGGCACCAGAGCAAATAAATACCCCTGCCAATGTCAGCGTACACAGAGTTCTGTGTTGCACCAGCCCTGTAGCTCTACTTCTTCCGAAGCACAGAAAGCACCCTGAGGTGTCACATTCCCTGATGACCCCTGAGTCCCTCGCACGTTTCCAGATTCTCACACCCTCTCAGACTACTGACGCACTGACCCCTTGGATGAATTTCTCACGCCTGTTTCTACAGCCACAGATCTAGAAACCTGCATCTTTCTCCATCGCTCTACGTGTTCAGAGAACATCTGCATTCAGAACGTTACCGCTGTAGCGGTACGTATTTAGCGCACAAAATACTGTTTTATATAAGCAACCTGCATAGTTAACATGTAAGTGTACAATAATTCCTATCGACAGATTGTAGATGGATGAACTAGAATTGGAAGATGGAGATAGGGGATGTGTTTTGGAGACCACAGGAGTCTGTGGAGAAGCAACACATCCTCTCTCAGCACGCTAAAGGAGGGAAGGAAGGCTAAAGGAAGGCTAAATCCACACAGCGACAACTGAAACAAAAGCAAGACAAGTGGGTGGAAGAGGAGAAAATGCGAGGGGAATGCTAGCAGCAGAGGAAAGAATGGAGAAAAAAGCAGTGGTAGGAGACAAATGGAGAAAGTAGAGAGGGGATGGGCTGAGCGCGCCCGAAAGAGCAAAGGGAGCCGGAGCCGCTGGGGACGGCGAAGATGCCCCAACAAAAATGTGCCAGACGAAGACGACGGGCA